AGTCTTTTCCTTTCTTTTCTTCTTTTTTTCTTTTTTTCTTTTTTTCTTTTTTTCTTTTTTTTTCTTCTTTTGCCATGTGAAAGCTGCTACCTACTACTTACTATATTTGGCATTTCCTCTCAGATGAACAATTCTCTATAATTCAGCCTCTCCCATTTTCCCGCCCAAGCATTCCCTCGCGTAGATTTTTTTTTTTCCCTACTTGATAGAAACAAATTCTGTCACCGCCTTCCATCATCTGGCGAGAAGGTGCGGTGGCTCAGCGGCGTGAAGTCGCTCTGAGCTATGTCTCCACCTCGTCAGTTTGATCCGTAGATCGTAGACATCGAAAAACCTATTCAGTTAGGTTTGTAGACTGGAACCTCATAATAGTACATGAGTTTCCGGTTGAGTTTTGCAATTTTGATGTTTTTTATTTTTTTGAAGGTATTATTTTTGTATGTTGAGAGGTTGTTGTTGTTACTATTCACCCCCTCCTGCCACCTTATTCATCGCGTCCTGTTCCATCCACCAGGCCACCTACGACACCAGTAGTGACCGCAGCGGCACGCATTTCATTCTATCAAGACTTTCGGTCGCCAAGCGAAAATTCCATCTTCATCCCCACAAGCACGGGTCGAGAGGTGATTCCAAGACTCCGACCATGCAGCGACGCCGTCTTTGAATACCACAAGCTACCGGTAGGCCATGCCCGCCCCCGCTCCCGCCCCCAAATATCGCGGTCCGGAAGCTATGGGGCCTAAGCCGTGACCAGATTGAGCGAGTTTTCGTCGTCATAGTCGTGTTACACTCGTTTCCCATCCACACTCCCCCAAATCCGTTTCCTTAGATATGTTTCCATGAAGCGATCTGAGCTGCAGTCAATGAGCAGGAATACGAGTTCCACCGGTAGTACAATGCCAGAAAAGCGCTGAAACGGCCTCACATCATAGCAAGTCAGCCTTTTGCGCCAACGCAACTCTCCTTAGTCTCTGCTCGGCTTTCTCTACCCTCCCCTCAACTTCCGCCCACTTCTCTCCCACACGCAGGATATCCGTAGTATACCACTTCTGAATCAGAGCAGCGGTTCGCTCCCTAAGCTCTGCTATATCGGCATTCTGGGCGGCCTGTACAGCTTCGGCCTTGGCGATTCGTGGTTGCAGCTCAATGAGCTGGGCTGAGAGCTCTGCGGGAGGGATTGGTACGTCCGTGATAGACGTGAGACGAGAGGATGTGGAGGGATAAGAGCTTGCGGATGCCATGACGATGGATAGTATTGTGGCGGTATCCAGTGTCGTCGGTAGCTCCTGCGGACTTAGAGATTGAAAGAGATCGGGATGTTTGGCATCTATCGAGAGATTAGAGACATCTTCCGTAGAGTATAAGAGGACCAACGCAGTTTCAGCAGCTCTTGAATAACTCTCGACTTTGAGGCCAGTTGGTGCAGCGAATGCTCCAGATCAGCAAGCCGTTGGGACGCTGTCGACTTGTTACCCGAGCTTGGTACATCCTCCACTTGGCCCGAGACTGCAAACTCAATTCTCCTCAATCGTGCTTCCAGGAGGTCAATCGTTTCTGACGCCGTTTGGTCGAAAGTATGTTCCATGCCTGCCATGTTGTAGCTTGAGGTCCCCTTCGCGAACGTTTCGTCGCGGAGGGGGAGAGAGATGTTTTCCCGAGCTTCGACTAGCCGATCGGCCACAAGGCTGGATTGTGGGGTTTATGAATCAAAATACTTATTTTAAGAGTACGGAGTTCGCTCTAGCGCCTCACTTCAACAGCTGTCATCTTGCGCCTCTCTTTGACCTCTTTCACGAACGACTATCCCATTCCTATTTTACGCCCACGACGGACAATTAATAGAGAGAGGTGGATGCTGGACAACCCATAATTAGCTCTTGCGACGAACATTCAATAGAGAGAGGTGGATGCCGGACAATCCATAAAGTAGCGCCCGCGACGAAAGTGCCCTCAGGATCGAAAGCTGCCCATCTCTACACAAGTTGAGCCTCCATGCACTGCAGATACTCGCCGTAACATCTTGTCTCCAGTTTGGCAGATCTGCATAGGCCGGAGGTGCCATCTACAAGATAACATTGGGCGGATTAGGGCTGGTGGTTCAGGATGCCAGCCTATTCTACGCTGGGAGGCTCGAATGGCTCCCCGTCGGAAACGGGACAAGGCCGGGTGTGAGCAGGACATGACATCTAATTCGAGAGCCAGGCTAACATGCTGTCAGGAAAAGGTCAGGCCGAGCACTGAAAGAGCAGAATCTGGGAGGGGAGGCTTCCTGGATTAGCAGTAATATCAACTTGGTCAATACTAGTACAGCCCCCATGTCCCAGTGTTCAAACCTGTGTGGAACACCGGTATCAGCTCGTTGGATGTGGTGCTGACTATGGCAGTTATCGGCGCGGGCACTCTAGCCATGCCCTTGGCCATGGCACATATGGGAATCCTCCTAGGCTGTTTTGTAATAATTTGGTCGGGTCTGATGGCAGCTTTTGGGTTATACCTCCAGACTCGATGCGCTCGATACTTAGAGCGTGGATCATCGTCCTTCTTCGCCCTCTCACAAATCACGTATCCGAACGCTGCGGTCATTTTCGATGCCGCGATTGCCATCAAGTGCTTTGGTGTTGGGGTGAGCTACTTGATTATCATTGGTGATCTGATGCCAGGTGTGGTAAGAGGGTTCAATGAGAATGCCGATTCTATCCCATTTCTTGTCGACAGACACTTTTGGGTCACAGTATTTATGTAAACTTTCTCTCACCGTTCTCGTTCCATTGCTGACTTTATATTAGGCTTGTGGTCATACCACTTGCATTTCTACGACGCTTGGATTCGCTCAAGTACACCAGTGTGGTCGCTCTGATCTCCATTGGATACTTGGTGATTCTGGTAGTCTATCACTTCTCAAAGGGAGATACCATGGCCGACAGAGGAGTGATTCGGGTTGTGGGATGGGGCGGTCTTGTTCCCACGTTGCAGAGTTTCCCAGTCATTGTGTTTGCCTACACATGCCATCAGAATGTTAGGCTCCGACCACCTGCATCGAGATTTGAGCTAAACTTCATTTAGATGTTCTCTATCTTGAACGAGATCAAGGACAACTCTCCACGAAGGTCAGCAGCCACTTCTCACAATACTAAAACTCGGTGGCTAACCATTTTGCTTCTAGTACCACCAGCGTCATTGCAGCAAGCATTGGCTCTGCGGCGTCCATCTACGTTCTAGTTGCCATCACTGGTTACCTTTCATTCGGTAACAACGTTGCTGGAAATATTATTGGAATGTGTAAGAATCCTACTGTTTCCCTACCAGATCTAAGCTGACCATCTAGACATTCCTTCAATTGCATCCACAATCGGCAAAGCAGCCATTGTGATTCTCGTCACATTCTCATATCCTCTGCAGGTGCACCCATGCAGAGCATCTGTCGATGCAGTCTTGAAGTGGCGGCCAAGCCGAAGGCGGAGCGCACGTAACTCACCTAATGGCTCACCCGCAAGATCAGTGCCCTTGCTCACAGGTAACCCAGCTCTACCCGTCGCAAGAAACGATTCCATTAGCGAAGTACGCTTCGCCATCATCACGTCTCTTATCATCGTCCTCAGCTACATTACTGCCATAACTGTCTCTTCGCTAGACAAAGTGCTGGCCTATGTCGGCAGCACGGGTAGCACAAGCATCAGCTTCATTCTGCCAGGCCTGTTCTACTACAAGATCTCGGCACCAGAATCAATACACCACCAGCGATTGCAGAAAGACGAAGACGAAGACGACAGTGCATCTGATACAGAAGCTGGTCGGGTGAGCTATAGTTCTAGCTCGTGGCGCGAGACCATGTTGAGGAAGCTGTCTCTGGCCCTGGCAGTTTATGGTATGTTTGTGATGATCCTGTGTTTGGGAACGAACTTGTTCTTCACGGGCGGGGCTACCCATTAGGTAAGGAGATATCGAGTCTTGAGCAATACATCGATGTGGCGTCGGGGTGTGGTACCAGCATTTGTTTCTGTCGGGCATAAGGGCATAGCCATGATTTCTGCACATAGGGAGCTATTTGTATTGCGTAGAGTCGACAGCTATTTGTAGATATAGTGGTGAATTAGCAGAGTTGGACGTGTCAATTTTCTTGCACACTAGACACTTGGTCTAGGCTATGATATTCGCTGTACAATTTCCATTGCCAGCTCAGCCAGTGATTTGCGCAGTGGGAACCTTCCTCCTTGGTAATAATGGTCAGGCTTGCAACACGTCGAGTGTCATGCTTCCAAGGCCCTTCAGTACCTCGTACGAGCATCATCCATAACGCCGTTCGTTGATCTGGTATACAATGCTATGCTATTCTCACAACGCCCCCCTATGCCACACATCTCATTCGTAGCTTACACTCCCCAGCCTCTCCTTCCCTTCCCCAGCCCTCTCCCCCCTCACGGAGCTTTCGGTCTATACTTCGGTTCCAGCAATCCAGCCTGCAGTACAGACATACAATCAGCCTCAATCGCTACCATAGTACCACTCACCGCTTCCCACTCCTCTCTCCCCTCCCACCCCCCTTTGTTCACTTCCCTCCCAAGGAAGGGACCGAGAAGAAGAGAACATAACATACCATAGCCAAAAGCCTCCACGCGGGATCGCTCGGCTGCGCGCCCACCCCGAGCCAGTACTTCGCGCGCGCCGAGTCGAGCTTGATGTCCTTGAAGGGCTTGCCTTCGCCCTCGATGGGCGGCTTGGGGATCGGGTCGTAGGTGCCTGGGTTGTTTTGTGTTATTTACTTTCCGCATTGGCTCCCTTGCCCGATTTCTCTTTCTCTCTCCCTCTCCTTCCCTCCAATCCATTGCTCCTCCTTCCTGAAGTCCCGTCTTTGTCCTTCTCGATCTCTGCTCTGCTCTGCTCTGCTCTGCTCTGCTCTGCTCTGCTCCCCCCTAAACCGTCCCAACCGCATGGGGGCATCTGATATCCAGCCGCAACAAAAAAGAAAAACGTACCTAGCACCTCGATCGGCTTGCTGTTTCTTGCAGTCCTACACACGGCCACATGTTAGCAGTGCGCGCAATGGCTGGGATCGGGGCGGGGAGGTAAATAATGTATGTATGCATGCATGCATGTATGTATGTATGTATGTATGTATGTGTATTGGAAGGAAGAAAGGGTCGAGGGGGAACGGTACCGGGCTTGCGCGACGACGATGTTATAGAATGGTGCCTTGCGGCGGCCGAAGCGTGCCAGTCTTATCCTGACGACCATTGCGTGGTTTTATGGTGGTGAGACCGCCGTGGTGCGGTGAGCTGAAGCGATTGGGAGGAGATGGGGGAGAGAGGGAAGGCTGAGGAGTTACTTTTTTTGAGGTTCGGGGGGTGGGGCGTGATGGAGAACCAGACCAGGGATCCAGCCAATGGGTAACCTCCGTATAAAGTAGAAGTATCGTCAGATGTTTCCCTCCCAAAACCACAACAGGTACACAGAAACATATTTCGTACGCGGATCAATACAAATCTATCTTGAATTACTTCTTTCCCATAATTTATTTTGTGACTCACGTTGCAAGAATCGACACTGAACTTTTCTGTTTGAATTACACCAACTCTACAAGTTATCTCCATTGCAGAAGGCATAGGACATCTACTGTCGGAAGAAGTCACCATGAAGGTCAGGCACATACTTACATGTATCCATATTTCCATATTTCCATATTTCCATGAAAAAACAGACCCGTATCTTTCTACCTACCAACCTACCCACCTTTCCTATATCCCAAAGCCTCTCTAAATACTTTTTTTTTCTTCCCTTTTACTCATCTCTCCCATCCAGTTCCTCTCGGCCCAGAACGCAGCAGCGCTCGACAGAGACCTCATGAGCATCGGCGCCTTCTCCATCGACCAGCTCATGGAACTCGCCGGCCTGTCAGTCTCCCAAGCCAGTCCGTCTCTCTCCATTCATCCATTGCAGTTTTTTCTCTGCGTACTTATTCACCCCCCTCCCTCCACATTCCTTTGAAAACAAAAGCATCTTGTAACAGCGGCCGACTCTCTTTCTCGCCACAGTTTTCCGCGTTCATCCTCCAAGCAGCGGACGAAGAATCCTCGTTGCGTGCGGCCCGGGAAACAACGGTAGGTAGTAGCTTCTCTTCTTTTTCTCCTCTTCCTGTCAAGCTTCTGGGGAAAAAAAATCATGGAGCAAGCCAGTGTCTTGCCGATGCTGATGCGGAATCCGAGGGACCTAGGAGGCGATGGTCTCGTCGCTGCTCGCCACCTCTGGCACTACGGGTACCAACCTACCGTCTACTATCCTAAGCAGAGCAAGAATGAGCTTTATCAGGTGTGTATCTTCCAGCTCTCCTCGTTCGCTCCAAGCAAGAAACGTTCCCCCCTCCCCAACCTTCTTCTCTCTCAGCTCAAAAGTCAATAAACCCCAATACCATAATGGATTGGGGAGAGAAGAAAAAAAAGCTAAATTGATACCCGCAAGCGTCTCTCGACCCAGCTCAAGAACCTCAACGTTCCGTTCACAGACGACTTCCCCTCCGCTCTCCAAGACTCAGATCACGTCGTCGACGCCATCTTCGGTTCTTACCCCCTCCTCCTATCCCCTTCCCAATTTCCCCCTCCACAACCACCAAACTGACTTCTCCACCAACGCACCCAGGGTTCTCCTTCTCCGGCCCCCTCCGCTCGCCCTTCCCAGCCGTCATCAACGCCCTACAAGAGACCTCTCTCCCCGTGACATCCGTCGACGCGCCTTCGTCCTGGGACATCGAGACGGGCCCCCCATCCTCCGGTCCGGGCTCGACCTTCAACCCTGCGGTCCTAGTGAGTCTCACGGCCCCGAAGCCGCTCGTGCGGTACTTCAAGGGCAGGCACTTCATCGGTGGTAGGTTCGTGAGTCCCGGCATCCGGGAGAAGTATGATCTGGAGTTGCCGGAGTATGAGGGCGTGGATCAGGTGGTGGAAGTGGGCAGGGAGGGAGAGAAATTGTGATGGGTGGTGGGGAAGTGATGAGTATGACACGATGAAAACGATGAGTCAATTGGCGCGTCTTCATTGGTGGTCTGAGAATCTACTAATATTTTGCACCTCCTGCGACGCGCTCTCTCATCCACCTCGCTTATTCGCTAACATTCGCTAAACTTGCACGTCAAGATATGCACCCCTGAATTGCAAGCCGTAACTCCCTTCTAAATCGTACAATCATTGCTTTCATGCGTGCGCAAAGTGCGCAAATTCAAGCGAGCTGGTGAAGATTTTTGCTCTGCGCAAAGGCTCACTCGGCGTGCGTCTCTTCGAAAAGTACCAGGACAGTGCCCGCCTTGCAAATATCCTACTACTGTCAGCACACCTCACACATTCTCTCCTCCCGAAACTTACTCCTTCATCATGAACCAGCTTAGCAACCTTCCCATTCTGCGGCGATCGAATCACAGTCTCCATCTTCATGCTCTCGATCCTAGGCCTCATTAGCATCCCCTCCCAATTCCCAATTTAACCCATTTTATCTCCTTTGAAAA